CACTAATTATTCTCTCCTTCTCTTCTCCTTTTCTTTCTTCCTTCTCGACTTCTCTCTAACTCTAATATTAGTTTTTCTATTTCAACTGTGACCTAGGTGTTGCGGACCCAAATCACAGAAACAGACTCTTTGCATGCTGGGGTAATGTTGCGCACCTCTCACCCTCGCTAGACTCAGATGGAGGTGGATACAAAAAATCATAAATAGTTCACACAAAGTGAGCAGGCTAGAAAACCTACTCTTATAATTTCTGGAGCTTTAAGTTCTTTCACTTCATTTTTGGGTACATCTAGAAATTTTATGTGCATCTCCTGTCATAACAAAAACAATATGTAAATAAAAAAATAAATAGTAACAGAAATTAAAGGCATCTAGAAGCCTAATAAAATATTGAGGGGCAAAGAAGAAGCAAAGAAGGAAGAACTTACAGATATCATAATGGAGATGGCATTTATAGCCATCAAAACAGCATTGTTTGCTGTCTTTAAGGCCTCATCCAGAGTTACCATATCCTTTTCCAGAAGTGCATCTGTATCCACCACTGATCCCAAGAAGCAAGAAAACACCGAGCTTGAAGGTTAGCAGGTCGATAAGCACCTAATCTTAACAAACAGAATCAACAATTGAAATTAGCAGAAAGCTGCTAGTGGTGGTAGTCAGCAGAAATGGTCAGCACTCCATATCAAAGCTATTTTTCTATAGCCAAGTGCAAGTTCCTAGTAGCTCAACAAATATCTTCACAATTTCCATTTATTGATGACTACGAAGAAGAGGAGGCATCTCCTTTTTCTTTTTTTCTTTTTGAGCAAAAAAAAGGAGGCGCCTTCCAAGGATCAAAATGTCGTGTCGACACGTCCGAAACGTCCGAAACGTTTCGGAATTTCAACACTCCGAAACGAAACAGTAGTTGAATCACAAAATTCCAGTGTTTCGGTCGAAACGGTACTGTTTCGGACCGTTTCGGTCGAAACGGTACTGTTTCGGATCGTTTCGGTCGAAACGGTATTGTTTCGAACCGTTTCGACAAAACAGTGATATATTCGGTTCATTATGAATAATTACATTTAATACCCCATTATAATTACATTTAATACCCACTGTAATTACATTTAATACTCACTATAATTATATTTAATATCCCACTATAATTACATTTAATTCCCACTGCTCTTCTGTCTTTTATAATTTTTTTGTTATAAGAATAAATAATTACACTTAATACCCTACTATAATTATATTTAATACCCATTATAATTATATTTAATACATACTGTAATTATATTTAATACCTCACTACTGTGCAAGTTTTTTGCTTTTTTTTTTGTTATAAGTATTAACAATTACATTTAATACCCTAATGTAATTATATTTAATACCTACTGTAATTACATTTAATACCCACTGCAATTACATTTAATTTTTAAGTATACATAAGTATCATTAATTTAATTTGATACCCTTCATTATTAGTATTATAATAAAATAGTATTATTAATTGGATTATATTACCGTAATAATATGATTTGGAGTAACTATTGTCATCATATTTATGTCACATATGGAGTTTCTCTAAGTAGCTACCCAGAGCCTACACCGATGTATGAGCCTGCTCGACACTCCACAGGGGAATGGATGTAACCATGTAAGTATGTACTCATTAGCATTTCATGTGTATTATAAGACGTTAATATTATGTAAAAATGTGTTTATTTCATAAAAATTAAGTGTTTGAAACTAATTTAAGTGACTTTCGCCTCAAGTCAAGCCTTTTTTTTCCTCAAATTTAAATTTATTCTTGTATAAATTGATGTTAACCGAATAAATATGTTGAATTAATAAATTATTTAGCATATCTTTATAAATTAATGGATTGCATTTGTGTTTCTATGCGTTTCCATATTTTTTCTGCGTTTCCATTGCGTTTCCGAAATGTTTCCGAAACGTTTCTATTTTTGAGTTGACCGAAACGGTACTTCGAAACGAAATTTTGATCCTTGGCGCCTTCATTATACAAGAGTTTGCAATTTTAACAAGGCTCAAAAGGTTTGTTCCAAGTTGATTCGTTGTAACGGGAGAACTAATCTAAGGATTGCTGAGAATAACGAAACCGTAAACAGAATGAACAATTTTTCCTTGGAATAATAATAGCCAATGCCTGGAGCATACAAGTTATAAAATCCAAGACATATCCAAGGTCCACATTTCTTTCACTCAATGGATGAATTAAATTTCTTTAACGAAGTTTGAATGGCATTATAAAATCACAATGTTGCTTTTGTATCTATAACTAGTCATAACTTACTTTAATAGGAGCCATTTTCAAAAATGTAGTTAAGAACTATGATATGGAGAAGTGGACTTTCAGGAAATACAACCAAGAGGATAACTTCAGTTGGGAGTTTATTTGAGAACCTAGGAGAGGATGTGTTTGCCTCTACAAGAGGCTTTTCTCCTACAAATTGTTCATTCTTGCAAAGATTTGCTTTCATAGTTGTTAGAATTGTTATTTTTCTGTATTAGACATAAATTAATTAGTGTAGGGCAAGGTTTTTGAAGTTGGGAACCTATCTTGGATCAATGGGCAAGACTTTAGGATTGGGATCATAGGATCAGATCGAGAATTGTAAGATCTTATCAATTGAGAAAATGAGACAAAAAACATATGTAGCAATATAAAATTCTCAAAAAGCAAGAATTAAACAAGCATAGTATAAATGCAAATAGAAAGATATAGAACTTAAGAGATGATTGAAATATGATAAACTACAATTTGAGCCTTTTTTTTTTTTTTTTTGATAGGAAATGAAAAATTTTATTAATCAAAATTAAGTGTACATGATAATGGTTGGATCAGAAATCCAACCACTAAAAAGAAAAGAAAAGCATAATGAAACTAAAAAAAAGAAATATATATAAACATCCTATTTATCACATGAAAATCGTCATCCCGCCAAAATTGCAAAGAGTGGGAGTCCTTTAAAATCCTTAGAAACCGAAGCCCAAAAGGATGCCATAAACTTTCCAAACACTCAGCACGATCTTTGAAGATTCTTACATTTCTTTCCTTCCAAATATCCCTCAAAATAGAACAATTCCACAATGTCATACCCTTATCACTCCTCCCAAAATCCCTATCAAATCTTGAACAAACAAAAAAATAGCGGGATTTGGGAATCACCACAACAAACTCACTAATCCAAACAACTTGTACCACAATAACAAAGCAATAGGACAATGTAAGAATAAATGATCTATGTTTTCATAATCCCCTCTACACATAACACAACATTGCGGAGCAAGACAAGAATGAGGCCTCATTTTTTTAAGCATATCAACAGTATTAATCTTACCATGTGCAACAGTCCATGCAAAATCTCACTTTAATCTGCACTTTAGCTTTCCAAATCATCAAAGCGAGTATAAAAAACAAATGAGAAGAATCATCAATAAGTGACTCATAAAAAGATTTACAAAAAAAAACACCCAAAGAATCTGAATCCACCTTCTTCTATCATATGACTCTTGGCATAAGAAGGTATCATTAATCATACTCAAGAGACGTATCACATCACTTATATCTCTATCATCAAGATTCCTATGAAAGTCAAAAACCCAAGAATATGATTGACAATAAGATATAATCATAGAAGCTATGGCCATATCATGATAAGAAGATAAATGATAGAGACGAGGAAACAAATAAGAGAAAGATGACTATCCAATCCAAACTTCCTCCCAAAAATGAATTTTCATCCCATTTCCCACCACCACCCTAATATTTCGAGAAAGTCTTATCAACCCCTGAGAAATGTATTTCCACGGACATCGAAAACCTCCCCTTTCAACCCTACTAGGGTCCCATCCAGTAGTCTGTAATTCATATTTGCTCTTAATAACTATTAGAATATATAGAGTGGCATTTATGTAATAAGTATATCCTAAGAGGGATATAGTAGTCTTTAGTCATATTGAGATACATATATACATGAGTTGAAAGGGAAGGTAGGTTAACTTCCTCCAATTATTTCTTACGTCTCTCTCTCTCTCTCTACATTTACTCGGTATTAGAGCAAGGTCCTTAGGGTTTGTCCTTCCCTCTTTTTTCCTTCTCTCTGGTATCTAATAATATTATATATATATATATATATATATATACAGTGTGTTGTCGAAGTTGACGAAGTTCATCTCCTGTTGGAGTTAATGTTCTGTTGATGAAAGTGATGGTGTTCAAGTAGTTTCTTGCTTTGATTCGAAGTGGTGTTGATGTCTGTTGTGCATCGTTGCTGATCGTGGTTTCAACGTTGGTTGTATATGGGTTGGTGACTGCGTCTTTGTCGATGACATTTGTCTGATCATTGTAACCTTTGTGTGGCTATTGGTGGTATCGTTGGATTGTTGAGTGGTGCTGTTGCCGGAGTTGTGCTTGTTCCGGCATCTGGTGGCTGTGGTGTTCGTTGCCCTAATCACAGTTGGTGTGAAAGGGAAGACCCTTGTTTGGCTGCATATTTGGGTTAACTTCAGTCCAGCTATTCCTATTCCTCAGTTGGATAAGAAAACTTGGGTTTGGCCCAGCCCAGTTAGACAAGATCCAATCCAGCAGCCTAGTTAGACAAGATTCAATCCAGAAGCCCAGTTAGGCAAGGCCCAGTCCAGTAGCCCAGTTAGGGGTCCAGTTGGTCCAGCCCACTAAACCGGTTCATCTCAACTGTATTCTCCAGTCCAATTCAGTTCGTTTCAGACAGCTTCCATCCGGTTCAGGTAGCTTTCCACCTGGTTCAGGCAGCTTCCCACCCAGTTCAGGCACCTACTGCGTTATCTGGTCCAGTTCATGCAGATAACCAGTCCAAGCTGATCTACTGGACCAGGATCCACTCCATTTCTACAGCACAAAAGCCCCAAATCAGCAATTAATTCATTAGTCACTCTCCCACCTACAGCTGGACTCTCAACATGTATTTTGAAATTTGAATTAACAGCTAACAATTCGTGATTAGCATTAACTACCCCTTAATTGCCAGATATTCATTATTAATGACAGACCCAATCCCTGGTTGTCTTATGCAAGAAATCAGCCCATTTCCTTTATTCTCTCCTCCCAGTGCATGATTATTTTGTACAACCCCTCTATCTATCATGCCACATATCCTCTTCCTTGCCATGTCATCGTCTTCTACCTTCAGTCTGGAGTACCGAGTTTTTGTGCTATCATACAATTCTCGAAGTTTCATTCGATCAGAAACTGACCCACCAAGATTTGAAATTACCTTAACAGTAATCTGATAATTTTCCCTTGAAATTCAACATTCAATAATGATGGTATATACCCCTTTTCACATCTTCCCACCATCATTTTGGCTTGGAACAAATTATACAGAGACAGAGTACCATGATCAACCTGATCGAAACCACCACAGCAGTCCCCAATCTTCCTAAACACTTCTTCTTTCCACAAATGAAAAGGTAAATCTTCAATCCCAATCAATCCTCCCAAAAACGAAATTCGATTTCTTCCTAAATTAGATTCTGGAACCCATTTCAAAAATTTAATCAGACCAACATTTTCTGTCGTGATTGCATTTACACTCCATATGGAAGCAGCATTTTCCTCGTTTTCGCAGAAGAATACAGTCTTATCAAGCTGAAATGGCAACAACTGAATATCAACATTTAGCTTTATTTTCAGATTTTGATTTATGCTCCTCCATGGAATAAATATGCTTTCCCACTTACATATAACTGCACTCTTTCAATAGCTAAAAATATCTGCACTCCTATCAGTATCCTTATTTTCCACAATTTCAGTCTCCTGCATATCTACATCTCCAGCAATTCCATCACCCTTCAACATATCACTAAGCATTCGTTGAAAACTCCTCCATCCTTTCACGTTCTCTCCATAAGGAACACCTATGAAATCTCTCTTGCTTGAGGATGTAAACTTTGAAATAGTAATAGAGTGCCCTCTCCTGTTGGAACTCCTTGCAACCCATAATTGATATGAGTAACATCTAAATTTTCTGAAGAACGTCACTGGACCTCTCCATTGAATTGCCACCTCCAACGCTTTGCACAACCAAGAAATACCACCTAACCCCACGATGATAGAAAAGCTTGAAAGACGAGATCTTTCAGTAATCTTAACAGCTTCCCCTAAAGGCTCTTCCTCATCCTCAACCAAAAACAACTTCTGATCTATCCTCACATCTTTAGACACATGTTTATATTTCTTCATCTCGGTCACAACAAATAAACTAGCTCCCATTCTTGAACTCACAGGTACGATTCGTACGCAGCATCTTCTGATAAAAGCTAATTTTCAGTCCAAAATCAAAGATTGACTATTAATCTTGTGGGATTTTGAAAAAGAGGAATAGAAGAAGTGAAATATTTTAATCTTAACTTTCAGAGAAAGAGATACAAAGGAGAGACTGGAAAGTTGAAAGACTGTTGTAAAATAACATTAACTACTCAACACCCAAACAAAAAAAACATAAAAGACTAAAAATTGAAGACTATCTACCTATGATTACTCGCAGAAAGAAGATCAAATCTAACCGTTGCTTTCAACTTTTCAACGACAGATACGAATGAAGAAAGAGACCATTTTGTAAACGAAACAAACTTTTTATAGCTTTTCTCATCCCCTTAAATTACCTGACTCACACTTATATAAGACATCCACCTTTAGATCGAGTCCTTAACTATTAAAACAAAAAATATGGATTAGATTGCTCAACAACTAAATATGTCCAACAAACAAACTCAACAACATAGATCGGTAAAATCACAGTTTGGATCAGGATCCTACGATCCTATAAGATTCGGATCACAATCCCATTAAAATCCTACAAATTTGGGATTCTACAAGAGACTCATATCAATTTGTTTACACCGGATTGTAGAATCATAAGATCCTAGGATCCAAATCGGAATTTGATAACCATGATGTATGGTAATAGTGTAATTATTGTAACTATTACTCTACTATAAAACAAGAGAGTATAGGGCAACACACGGCCTACACACAGATTGTCTCTTTCCATCTTTGTCTTCTCTCATCCTCCTTTCCTTTCCTTTCCCTAAACCCTAATACCAATTTCATAGTGTTAACTATAGTGTTCTAAAGCATTGTAAATACATTCTCATGTGGTTGGTGTATCACTTGGTTTTTTTTTTTTTGATAGGAAACATAACTCTTGTATTAAAATAAAAAATGAGAATACATAAAGAGAGATTGGATAAGAAATCCAATGAAAAACAAAGAAAATTACAATAACAATAAAATACTATAAAATGCCTATAAATCACATGAATCTCTCAATCCCGTTTGTATAGCAAAAAGCCGAATTCCTTTAAAGGCAACTGAAGCCCAAAACGATGCTAAAAAATAAATGCGCTCCGACAATCCTTCCACACACTCATTCCGAATTTCAAAAATTCTTGTAATATGCTCCTTCCAAATTACCCACATAATAGCAATGATAACACCATTCCATAGAGTAAGGCACCTTTAACATCTTCAATAAATAAGGAACTAGATGTAAGAGGGATCACCCAACTAAGGCCCACCTCTCGAAACAATCGATACCACATTCAAAGCAACAGGGCAATGAAAAAATAAATGATCAACACTCCACCATCACCTTTACACATCACACACCACTGAGAGAAAAGACAACTGTAAGGTTCCCTTTTCTGAAGCATGTTATCAATATTAATCTTACCATGTGCTACTGTCCATGCAAAAACGTGCACCTTGAAATGTAATTTTGCTTTCTATATCATCAGAGCAAGATCAAAAGAAGGATAAGAATTTTCCCCCACTAAAGAATTAAAGAAAGATCTACATGAGAAAACTCTCAATGGTTCCGACAACTACTCTCTTTTATCACCGACTCAATATTCAACACAATGTTATTAAGAATATCTAGAAATAAAATCATATTACTCAATATTCAACACAATGTTATTAAGAATATCTAGAAATAAAATCATATCAATTGTATCTCTATCATCTAAATTCCTACGAAAACCAAAATCCCAAGAATATGGAGAACTATAAATGACCGAATCATAGACATAATGAATGAATTGAGAAACATAGATAAATTATAGAGATGAGGAAACACATATGAAAGACTACTTCCCCCCATTACCCACCACTAACCTCACCTCTTGGGAAAATCTCGCCAAACCTTGAGAAATGAATTTCCACGGGCATCGGAAACACTCCTTTCAACCATATTAGTATCTCATCCGTTAGCATGTAATTCATATTTACTATGAATATCTAAATGCCACAAAGAATTTATTTTCGGGGGAAATCTCCAAAGCTAGTTACCTATCAAAGCAATATTTCTTGCATTCAAATTACCAATAGAGAGACCTCTTTTATCCTTAGATCTAAACACCACCCCCCCAACTAATAAAATGATTCTTTCTTCCTTGCCCCTAACTTCACTTAGAAAATGCCTCATTATATTTTTAAGTCTCACAACGATTTTCCCTGGTAATATGAATAGAGATAAAATGTAGGTTGGAATGCTAGATAAAACTGACTGGGCAAGAGTTAGCCTCTCTCCTTTGGATATATAAGCTTTCTAACCTTTTCCCAACTTTTTTAACCAACAGGTCCCAAAAGGATTACAAAAGTGAATTCCACCCCAACGGCAGTCCTAAGTACTTCAATGGTCACTCTGCTACTTTACACCCCAACAATCCTACTATCTTACTAATTTTTTTCACATTTGAATTGATGGTCACTAGTACACTTTTTTCCAAATTTACCTTTAAGACTTGAGACCACACCAACACCTCTACAATGTTCTTAAATTTAGGGGTCCTTGCAAGTAATCGTGGAGGGAACTCCTTAAGCATTCTTGCTCTTAATTAACATTAACAATAGCAATTATTGTTGGCTTGCCTGAGCATGTGGATCAAAGTTCTAAACTGCATGGATTTCTTGTTTCTATTCATGGTTCATATTTTATTGTTTTATTCACTTTGCTATAAAACACCTAATATTTACTTTCATGTGAGATCTTTCATGGATAGTTGGACTGTAATTTTGTTATTTGGGGTTCGAATTTGATGGTAATTGAATCAGTATGCCATAATACGTGTATCGCTTCTAGAAAGTAACAAGTTACAGACACAAAAATAGTTGCATCCCAACCAGTTAGTAAGAGGGAGGGGAAATCTCTCATAATTAGAAGACGATGGGAACTAAAGCAAAACATGAGGCAAAAGGCTTGCAAAGCTTATTCGATCTTATTTCTACTATTTTTAGCAAATCAATAAATGAATGAGCAACAAGATCGATAATAGCACCCTAATGTCTATACAATACATAAAAGAGCCAATGCACCTTCCGGGACTCTACTGCTCATGTTGGAGGCCCATATTTCCTATCTCAGTTCATGTGACCCTTATGACCGTCCTTTAAATACTGGGAACCAATTATAGTATGACACCTCATATCACAACTAAATATAGAATACAAACCAAGCACAATCATTTCTATGGAAAAATGTGATAAGAGTCGAAGTGTGTCATGTTCGTTGAGGCTTGGAACTAATTTTCTTGTTATGTTTTTTTCTTTTCATCTTGTAACCTTTTTGTTTATTTTCTACTCTTTTTTTCATATTGAGACGTTTTGTCCTCTCATGCACCTTTTTATATTATTAGTAGTGTTGATTCGAAACGGTCGAAACATCCGAAACGTTTTCGTTTTCAAGGAGACCGAAACGAATCAGTGATAGAATCGAAATTCTAATACTTCGAGGTGTTCCATAATGTTTCGAAATACTTTATTATATTTCAATACATTTGCAAAATTATTTCAGAATATTTCAAGGTATTTTAAGATATTTTGGTATATTTCAACCAATGTTTTGAAAAATAATTCTTAAATTTTTTATTTTTTTCATTCTGTTTTTGAAACGGTTCGAAACATTTCCAAAACATGTTGAAACGTTTCCGTTTCCTAGGTGATCGAAACAATACACTAAAACAAAATTTTAACTCTTAGGTAATATTGCAATTACCTAAAATATTAGTTTATTATAAATAAGAGAGTGTAGGACAACCTAGCTCACATACATTATTTCTCACTCTTTTTCTCTCTCTTCTTCTCCTTTATCCTAAACTTAAAACCGTAATATTTAACTATTTCAGTTTCAAATTGGTATAAGAGCATCTATTATAGTCATTCTCTCTCTTTTCTTTTCTTTTCTTTTTTTTCCCATCTCTACACTGTTCATTGCTAAAACTGATCATCACTGTTAACTGAAGTTACTTTTCATCATAGTTATTGTTCTTCGCAGGTTACAGTTCATTGTGGTACCACGA